CCACCACAGCCTCAACCTGCTGGGCTCAGGCGATCCTTCTCTGCCTTAGTCATCCAAGTAGCTGGAACCACGGCATGTGCCACCAGGCCCGGCTAATTTTTTGATTTATTGTAGAGTTGAGGTCTTGCCAAGTTGCCCAGGCTGATCTTGAACCCCTGGGCTCAGGCAGTTCTCTAGCCTTTGCCTCCCAAAGGTAAAGAATTCTTAAGACAGAAAAAACTAATGCCAGTGGAAAAGCCCAGCTCACTTCGGTTTTTTACAGCAACATTTAATGTAATGTCTACAAAATTCTAAGAGAAAGAAGTGTGACCCTGGAATACTTACCCAGCTAAAGATATTGTTCTAGTGTAAAGGCAGCAGATAGATATACTTGCATGTGAAAAAAACTCAAGAATTTCCGGACTCTTGAGTTCCTGGAAAAAAAAACTGCTTGATAGCAAATTCTAACCAATTAAGAGTAAATCGAAACTAAGAATTTAGGAATGGGACCCATGTGGGGTGGTGCATGCCTGTAGTTCCAGCTACTCTGGAGGCTGTGGTAAGAGGTTCCTTTGAGCCCAGGAGTTAGAGTCTAGACTGGATAGTATAGTGAGACTTTCTCTCTCTCTCTTTTTCTCTCTCTCTCTCTCTCTCTCTGTAGGCTGGATAGTATAGTGAGACTTTCTCTCTCTCTCTCTCTTTTTTATTTTTATTTTTGAGTCTGAATCTCACTCTGTCTTCAGGCTGGAGTGCAGTGGGATTCTCTCAGCCACCACTGGGTTCAGACAATCCTTCCACCTCAGTCTTCTATAGGCGTGCACCACCATGCCCAGCTAATTTTTCTTGATTTATTGTAGAGATGGGGTCTTGCCAACTTGCCTGGGCTGGTCTTGAACATGTGGGTCCAGGCAATCCTCTCGCTTCAGTCTCCCAAAGTGCTGGGATTACAGGTGTGAGCCACCACGCCCTGCTGAAACTCCTTCTCTTAAAGAAAAAAAATTTAGGAATGGAAAAGCTTGTCAAAAGAATTGAGGATGAGTATTGAATACATTTAAATGTAGAACTAGTATTAGACAGCCATAGGAATTATGATTACAGAACTCAATGTGAATATTATCAACCTGATCAAAATAATAATGATATTGACTAGTATTAGACAGCCATAGGAATTATGATTGCAGAACTCAATGTGAATATTATCAACTGGATCAAAATAATAATAATATAACAAAATATGGAGATGGAGAAAGGGACAATTGGAGGAAGGGTAAGGGTAAGGATATTCTCTTTTTTTTTTTTGAGTCAGAGTCTCACTTTGTTGCCTAGGCTGGAGTGCAGTGGCATGCTGCTCACAGCCACTGCAGCTTCGTCCTGCTGGTCTCAGGTGATCCTTCTGCCTCAGCCTTCCAAGTAGCTGGTGCTACAGGCGTGAGCCACTTCGCCCAGCTAATTTTTAAAAAAATGTATTGTAGAGATGAGGTCTTGCCATGTTGTCCAGGCTGGTCTTGAACCACAGGCTCAGGAAGTCCTCTTGCCTTTGCCTCCCAAAGTGCTGGGATTATAGGCATGAGCCACCGTGCCCAGCTCTCTCTCTTTTTTTAAAAAAAATAAACTGTTATACCTACTAAGAATGTATATAAAGTATAGGTTTGTTTTAAAAGTATGGCTTGCTTTTTCAACTTGCTGATTTTGGCATAGTGGTCTAGCACCAGTCAAGTCTGCCACACAATTTTTAAAAAATTAAACATTTAAAAAAAATTGTTTTTGAATTGAAATCTCACTCTGTCGTCCAGGCTAATTTTTTGATTTATTGTAGGGAGAAGGTCTTGCTATGTTGCCCAAGTTGGTCTTGAACCTGAGGGCTCAGGCAATCCTCTCACCGCTTATGTTCAAAGTGCTGCCTCACAGATCTTACCAACTGAGGATTTAGGTCCTGATTTTGTTAGTCAGTTGACCCCTCACTTTCTGACTTTGAAGACTAGGATAATTACAGACATTCATCAAGGTACAGGGTACAGGCAGGGGGATTGGGGTTTGGGAGCTAGACTAAAGCAGCTTGATAGTTTTTCCTATATTAACGTGCAGCTTTGGGGGCATCAGGGTGGCTCAGACATCCTGGATTGAAAAAAAATTTTTTTAGAGTCAGAGTTCTCACTCTGTCACCCAGATGGGATGCAGTGGCACAATCTCGGCACACTGCAGTGTTGATCTCTGAGGCTCAGGCAATCCTTCCACCTCAGCCTCCTGAGTAGCTGGTCTACAGAGGCATCACCATGCCTGGCCTATGTTGCCTAGGCTGGTCTCGAACTCCTGGGTTCAAGCAATCATCTCGCCTCGGCCTCCCAAATTATTGGAATTAACAGGCGTGAGCCACCTCTCCTCTCTGGAAATTTTTTTTTTTGATTTGGAGTCTCACTCTGTCACTCAGGCTGGAGTGCATTGGCATGCTAACAGCCACCGCAGCCTTGAGTTGCTGGACTCGGGTGATCCTTCCCCCTGAGCCTTCCAAGTAGCTGGTGCTACAGGCATGAGCCACCTCGCCCAGCTAATTTTTAAAAAAATTTATTGTAGAGATGAGGTCTTGCCATGTTGCCCAGGCTGGTTTCAAACCCATTAACTCAGGCAATTCTTTCACCTTGGCCTCCCACAGTGCTAGGATTATAGGCTGGGATTTACCGCACTTGGACAGAAATTTTTTTTTTTTTTTTTTGAGTTGGAGTCTCACTGTCACCCAGATTGGAGTGCAGTGGCCGCTCCCGGCCACCGCAGCCTCGACCCGCTGGGCTCCGGCGATCCTTCCGCCTCAGCCTTCCGAGTAGCCGGAATTACAGGCATGCGCTACCATGCCCAGTTGATTTTTTGATTTATTGTAGAGATGAGGTCTCGCTGCCCAGGCGGGTCTCGAACCCGCGGGCTCAGGCAATCCACTCACCTCAGCCTCCCAAAGGCGTGGGATTACAGGCTGAGCCACCGAGCCCGGCGGACAGAAATTTTTTAATGGGAAAGAAGAATCAGATTTTGACTCTTATCAGGATGTTGTCAATAGAACTAACCTCCACGCTGTGATCCATTTAATCTTCCTAAAAACTCTTCAGGCTGGGGGGTGGGGGGGTGGCAGGGCACAAATATTGTAAGCATTGGTTGAAAAGCTCCACTCAGGATGTTCTCAATCAATAGAGATTGTCTAAAATTAAGACAGTTCAAAAAAAAAAGTATAATAACTATAACTATATTTTATAATTTTACCTTTGTAGGCGGTATCTCTTGTGAAGAGATATTTGAAGTTCAAAATTTCTTAGCCTGATTTTCTTCTTATTTTGTTTTTGAGTCAGGGTCTCACTCTGTTGCCCAGCTGGAGTATAGTGGCATGATCATGGCTCACTGCAGTCTTGACTTCCTGGGCTCAGGTGGTTCTTCCGTTGCAACCTCCTAAGTAGCTGGTACTACGGATGTGCACCACCATGCCTGGTTAATTATTTTTCTTTTTCTTTTTTGTAGAGACAAGGTCTCACAATGTTGCCCAACTTGGTCTCAAACTCCTGGGCTCAAGCAATCTTCCTTCCTCAGCCTCCCAAAGTACTGGGATTACAGGTGTGAGCCACTGTGCCTGGCTTAGATTTTTCTTTATTGTTTTGAAGTACTATAGTCAAATATTATTAAAAATGACATATATTGCCGGGCTCGGTGGCTCAGCCTGTAATCCCACGCCTTTGGGAGGCTGAGGTGAGTGGATTGCCTGAGCCCGCGGGTTTGAGACCCGCCTGGGCAGCGAGACCTCATCTCTACAATAAACCAAAAAATCAGCTGGGCGTGGTAGCGCATGCCTGTAATTCCGGCTACTCGGAAGGCTGAGGTGGAAGGATCGCTGGAGCCCAGCAGGTTGAGGCTGCGGTGGCCGGGAGCGGCCACTGCACTCCGGTCTGGGCGACAGAGTGAGACTCCAACTCAAAAAAACAAACAAACAAACAAACAAACAAAAAAATGACATATATTGTATGGTCTTATTTTTAAAAATAATTTCTTCTTTGTTATTCTATTTGCATAAGTACATATAAAATATGTCTAATGTCTAATACTTGGTATTTTTAAAAGCTTTTATCTTTGTATATTTCTGTATTGTTTGAATTTTTTATAATAATGGAGAGTTTTAGTTTTCTAGAAAATAACTGCTATAAACCAATATGCCAAGGTGTCAACAGTGGCTAACTCTGGGTAACAGGAAGGGTATGTGTGATTGTAATTTTTTTTCCTTACTTTTTTCCTTTTTCTTCTCATTTCTTTCTTTTCTCGTAAAATATACTTCCCTTCATTTTAAAATTTAAAATAAAAAAGAAGGCAAAAATACTTGACTATTTCAGAGCAGATTAAGCCAAATTTGGAGGTGATGGTTGCTCTGGATCATATCTCACCCAAATCTGAAAAGTGACTTCTTAGGAGTTGGCAATCTAGTTATGGAAAGGATAATCTTTAGAGGTAGTAATATTGATATGAAAATTCAAAAGCATGCATTTTCATAGTATATTTATAAGACAAAGTACTTTTAAGACTATCAGTCTGTGCCAAGACCAAATACCTTATGAAAATTACACTGAGTATGATATGTTAATATTATATAGAAGCCTACTTAGGAAGTAGAGTGGTAATGGCATTGATACTATTTTTGGTAATAAATATGCCATGTGTGAAATAAAGAGTAGCTTTCGGATTTCCTGAGGATTTTATGAACTGAAGTCATAATGAATGTAATTTATAAAGAAACTGGTTTGCTAGCTGTAAAAAGCTGCACACTGATAAAATTAATGTGACTTGATATTGTTGGACTGAAAATTAGAAAAGAATAAGTGAGTGACAGTATAAAGTTTCTAGTTCTGACCTTCTGAATCAGAGAGTGGGTACAATTATAGACTAAGAAAAGACTGAATATAATCCAGATGCAAATACTTTAATGATATAATAATATAGCAAACATTACTAATTTTCACTAGTTGTTGTCTCTTCTCTCACCTTCTACTTTCTTCCAGACCCAGCAACCTAAAGGAAATGGGGTTTATGTTTTTCATCCCCATAGTCAACCAGTTAGCTGTCTTTACTTCTCACCTGCCAATCCGGCCCACATACTGTCACTGAGCTATGATGGCACGTTACGCTGTGGGGATTTTTCCAGGGCTGTTTTTGAAGAGGTAAATGTTAATGTGGTTACATGCTGACCTCAGATGATATTCTGGATTCTTTATGAAATGTCACTTGAATATTATACCAGTCAGATTGGGAGAAGTGGTATAGCATAAGAACTTTTAGAATTTTACTGCCTAAATTCAAATCCCAGACCATCTACTACTAGTTGTGTGACCTTGACAATTCCTTTTAATTTCTATTTCTACCTTTTTGTATTGTTCTTGCCTTCTTCTTTTTAATTTGTTTTTTTAGAGATGGGGTGCTACTATGTTGCCAAGCTGGTCTTGAACTCTTGGGCTCAAGCAGTCCCCCTGTCTCAGCCTCCCCAATAGCTGGGATTATACTGCACCTAGCTTTAGAAATAGGCTTTTAAAAGCAACATTGTTGTAAAAAAAAGAGAGAATGTTGATATTTCAAATCTCTATTAGAAATAGATGGGCTATAAATCATGGATTAAATCAGATAATTTTTGTGAAAAGACCTCTTTTGGTTATTAGTGAACAACCATATAGTTATCTATGCCAGTCATGTTCTGTTTTGTATTTGTTTACATTCTTAGAAAAAATTGGAGTTATAAATTTAAAGGGGCATCTATATCAGCCATTTAGTAACTAATTCGACTTATTTTTAAAATAGTTTTACTAAAATATAATTAATGAAAAAATGCTCAGCCTCACTAGTCATCAAAGAAATGCAGATTAAAACCACACCGAGATACCACCTAACTCCAGTTAGAATGGCCATCGTTAATAACTCAAAAAAAACAATAGATGCTGGAGAGGATGTGGGGAAAAGGGAACACTTCTACCCTGTTGGTGGGAGTTAAACTAGTACAACCTCTGTGGAAAACAGTGTGGCAATTCCTAATAGATCTAAAAATCGACCTCTCATATGACCCCCTTCTGGGAACATACCCGGAGAAACTCATATTATTCTGCAAAAAAGATATCTGGGCATACATGTTTACTGAAGTACTATTCACAATAGCAAAAACATGAAATCAACTGTGCTGCCCATTGAAAGAGGGCTGGATAAAAAAAAAAAAGTGGTATATATACATGATGGAATATTACGCAGCCATAAAAAAGAACTTCACAACAACTTAGAGTTAGAGTCTGTAATACTCAATTATCTATCACAGAAACAAAGAACTTGGGTACCACATGTTCTCATTCATAAGCGGACCCTGAAAAATTATCATAATACTATAAGAAATGGATTGGCAGTAGTGGGAAACTGCCAGAGGAGGGAGCGGGGGGAGGGGGGTTGTACACTTCATCAATAAGTGTACCTTATCTCAAACCAGGTGATGTGGGGACCAAAGTGAGGTCCAAACTTTACCTGTACAATGACCATTTTATGCCTAACTCTGAATTGTACCCCACGTCTTTAAAATAAACCTTTAAAAAAAAGATTTAGGATATGACCCTGACCTGGTTAGATGGGCCATGTAGCCCTTTACACTTGGATGTCCCCTCTGAGGGGACATAAAGAGATAGCTGGTGATTATACAGGACTAACTTATGCCAGCGCAATATTTTCAAAAATGTATGTTTCCTTGAAGTTTTCCATTCAAATTGCACAAAAAAGCAAACGAGATGGAATATATACTGAGATTTTCATAGAAAAAAGCAGCTAATGTTACATAGAGAATTTATGAAGTGTTTTCACAGTGGTGCACAGACTGGACAATAAATTACTTATTAATGGAGAAAGAAAATGAGACTACATTGATCAAATAGAAAAACAACAGGTGGAAGATGTTAGACAAATTACTGTTGCACAACATGTATCAATGAAGCTATAATGCATGTTAATGATCATTTCACATGTTACCCCACATTAGAAAATTGTAAGATATAAAATTTGGGGTTTTTTTGTCATAAGTTCTTCAATGTCCAAAATTCTATTATAAGCCAATTATCATTACAATAAAATAATTGGTTCCAATGCCATACTATTAATATGAAGTGATTTGTTTTCAGTATTTTGTAAATTATGGTTGAGTTGCTGGTAGGTGATTTGCAAGATGTCTCCAAGTACAAAGTGTTAATTGTTGGCAAGTTTTGCAGCTGGTCAATTCCTTTGTTTCCTTTTAAAAAAAAATTTTACGGGCAGATAGGAGAAATAAATTTTAATGTTTGATAGTTGAGTAGGATGACTATAGTTAACAACAGTATACTGTGTATTTCAAAATAGCTAGAAAAGAGGACTTGGAATATTCTCAACACATAGAAATGATAAATGCTCAAGATGATGGATATCCTAAGTACCCTGAATTTGTTTCCATCTTGTCTCTGTGCTTCTTATGGAGATGACGAGAGGATAAACGAGGTTATTTGGGAAAAGTGTTTTTGTGACCTTTTAACCAAAAACTTATGCACTGGCTTTCTTTAAAAGAAGGTTGTTATGTAAACTTATTGTTATTTGTATTCTTAGGTATATAGAAATGAAGGAAGCAGCTTTTCCTCCTTTGACTTCCTGGCAGAAGATGCCTCCACTTTAATAGTAGGACACTGGGATGGAAAGATGTCACTGCTGGATAGAAGGACACCTGGAACTTCTTATGAGAAACTTATTAATTCATCTTTGAGCAAAATTAGAACTGTTCATGTCCACCCAGTGCATAGGCAATATTTTATCACTGCAGGATTGAGGTATGCTCTTTATAAAATTTAAAACCTCTTAATGATTCTAAATTTAGGCCTCTTAATGTCACAAACACACGGTTTAGTCTGATTGTCAGAGATATCTTGACTTTTATGTTACTCACATGCCAAATAATTTTCCTTTCTATATTGATTGAGACTTTTTTTTTTTAGTTGAAGTCTCACTCTGACGCTCAGGCTGGAGTGCAGTGGCGTGCTCACGGCCACCACAGCCTCAACCTGTTGGGCTCAGGCGATCCTTCCACCTCAGTCTTTCAAGTAGCAGGAACTATAGGCGTGTGCCACCATGCCTGGCTAAACTTT